CTTCTTTCTAATCTTGAAGTAATTTAATTTTGCAGCTAGAGTTCCTATCGACAATATCCTATGTCCTGGAGGACCTAATGTTGCATCCGAAATTTACAACAGAGTATGCTAATGCGCGATATGTGGTGCTCAGAAATGGAGAAAAGTACTTGCAAAGTTTTTGATGCAGCCGCACTTTATTGTGTGGGACAATTGTGGCCTTGTGGCTCATGACTTCATGAGGTTATAGACTTATAGGTGGTTTAAAGAATGTCTATGCCATCAGAGATGGTATGAACTTTTTCCTCTTCCCCTGACTATATCACATTTATGATTAGAATTCTTGCATCTTCAACCTCTCTCGTTTTCCCTTGACTATAAACTCTGTTCTAAAAATCGTTCTAAGCGTCCGACTAGTCCCCGCCTAGGCGCTAGGCGGTAGTCGGGCACCCCGTTTTTTGTCTAGGCGCTCCGACTAATTGTTTTGCCGTCTAAGTGAATTAGTCGGCCGACTATGGCGCTTAGTTTCCCGCCTAGAGCGCCTAATCGGCCGCCTAGGCCGTCTAGATTGGCCAAACATTACTTTACCTTTTAATTTTAATTTTCTAAGTGATATACGTACTTTAGCTTTAGTCATGGATATAAAAAACTGAAGTTGTAAATTAAGATAAAACTATACATGTTTCTATATATACCTAAATTTTATCATTATTTATATTTATAACATAATGAAGTTAAGTGATTAGTTATCATATACCTCATATGATTAGATGTGATAATTCTACCATTCATGTTTGTTAATGTATATGTATATATGTATTTTATACACACAAAAATACAATATTACTTATCATATTTATGCAAAAATATAGATAAAAATGCAATTTCTTTGTCTCCGACTAGTCCCCGCCTAGGCGCCCGCCTAGACGCTAGGCGCTAGGCTGGCGCCCGACTAACGCCTAGCGCCTTTTAGAACATTGACTATAACACATTTTGAATTAGGGTTCTGAACCCTAATTCAAAATAAATAATGCCCAATGTATTGTATTTTTTTTTCCTTTTTTACAAAGCAATCTCTATTGCTTTAATGCCCAATGTATTGTATGTAGCATGAGTATTAAAATTTATATGTTGTTCTTGTATAATTGTTTTGCGGTAGTTGCATATAACGATTAAATAAAAAAAATAAAAAATATATATATAACGATTAAATAAATATAACATGGATTATATTATATTTGTAGGCTATTATATTAGACACGTCAAAAAAAATGTCCTACAAAGCAACAGCTAAAAAATCACCTTCATATTTGTCCAACGTGATATAGCAATTGAAATCGTAATGTGGTCTTAATTTAGGAGCATATAGACATTTAATTAATTATTGGACAATCACATACTACGTATTATCTTTTAAAAATAGGTAAATGACTTTTATTATTGAAAGTTAATTGAAATATTGCACAATCACATACTACGTATTATCTTAAACTTTCTTATTTTTCATGAAATCTCAAGAACATATCACATATATATTAATAACTTCAAGAACTTGTATCCCAATTTCCCACGTATTTTATTTCAAAGACTATACGCTAGCAAACAACGCAAGTTTAAGGCAAATAACTGCTTTTTAATACATGACTTCTGTCAATAGGCAAGTAATGCTTTTAATACTCCCTCCGTCCCAAAAACAACTTCACACTTTCCTTAAATGGATGTCCCAAAATTAACTTCGCACTTCAATATTTTTCTTATTTGGCAAATTATCTACATTAAAATAGTGTCAAACAGTGTCCAAACGGTGTTTAAACAGTGCAAAACAGTGCACTCCAAAGTAATTATCTACATCAAAACAATGTCAAACAGTCCCAAAATTAGCGCAAGAAATCATCACATCCTGACATCCCCTTCTACTTAGAGTCTAATTCAACTTAGAGTCTCATTCTTTTATAATGAGCTTTGGTGTAACCTCTCATTGACAATTTTTTATAGGAAATTTGAAAAAAACACATGATTGAGTTTTTACATGGCAACTTAATTCAAGCCACCATTGCTGCAAATCCTGCTATAGTTGGCCAATTTTAAATTGCCAAGAAAAGATACAGAAATGAGTTACCTCTATGCTTTTAAAAAAGATGTAGTCAAAGTTATATACTCTGGTTAATGTTTTGAAAGTTGCACTCAAAGTAAAGTGGAAAGATGCATTCAAAGAGAGTATTTTGAATTCGGGAAAAGGGGCAAATTGATCACTATGATAGGGATAAAAGTGCAAATAAGACACTAACCTTTTTTAGGTGCAAATAACATTAAATTGAGTACATAAATGGCATTCTAGCCACCCACTAACAGAAACAGGCCTTCCAGCGTTAAAAAAGTTGACGTTAAGAAAAGAATTCAGAAAAAATAACTCCATGGTGGGATCCAAACTTTAAAAAGGGAATTATTTTTTCCACTTGAAAACTTATGTAACCAACTTGAGCTTTCTGCATATTAAAAACTTTAAAAAGACGAGTGCCTTGTATGAATAGACTTGATTAACATGTGAAAAAACAAATAGCAAGTTACCCAAAGTAGAGAGGTAGTGGAATCGGAAAACAGAAAGTATACAAAAAACAGAGGAACATATATTTTAATAAATATTGCATACAATTCAGGCATGCAAATCTGCAATAAAAATGGGTTTATGTTAGGCATTGTCTTATCACTTATGTATGTAGTATTATTCACTAATTTTTTTAAATTATTTTGATGTTTTCTGGAATTCAGATGCGGCAATAATTTTAACACTTCAATGTTTTCTACAATTCGTGTTTGGGAACTATTTTTACCAAACACTATATGATCACAAGTAGCTTATCACCTATAAGCTATAAGCTACTCTGTATAAAATACAAGTTTGTAATTGGTTTTGCGGAAGACCTTTTATAAATAGTGGCATACCAGGATGAGTCAATATTACAACAAGAAGCATATGTCTGTATAGTAAAACCATATGGACAATTCACTTTGCTTTCATTCTTGTACTGGAGGACAACAAATTGTGTTAGTTACCACATACAAAGTTAGGATTTGTGCATGCACGTACATACTTAAAATCTAATGCAATTTCCAGCAATTCTTGAACAGAAAGCTGGGTTTAGTTATTTCTAATGGAAGGTGGCTAGAATAGGTGAATGCTTGGGCCCTTTTGGTTGTTGCTTAAAGAAAGAATTCCGGACAATGATCCAAGCTCTGTTTGTAATGCGTTTTGTTGCTGTTAGTGGATGGCAAGAAGCCTAGAATGCCATTTATGTATTCAATTTAATGTTATTTGCAGCTAAAAAGGTTAGTGTCTTATTTGTACTTTTACCCCTTACCAAAGTGGCTAATTTGCTTCTTTTCCCTTTTGAATTCATAGATAGAGGAGTTATGAAACTCTCTGCAAATAAAGTGATGGATGAGAGAACTTAGCTGCTAAGAATAAAATGAAGTGATGGATGAAAGTAATAAAATGTTTATCATTTTATTGTAATACAAAATTACTTGATTGCTAAGAGTAACAACCATTTCAGCAATTGTGCTTGTTACTTTTCTATATGTGCTCTTCAATATAAACTTTCTGCTCTTTAAATTGTTGCACAAAAAAATTGAAATGCCTATAAAATTGACACTCTTTCAATTTTACAGGTTATTAGAATTTATATGTGATTTTTAGAGCACACAAAAGTCTTTTTTTTAAATACTACAAGGGTCTGGGGGAGGGAGCTGGGGGGCCTGGAGTAATCAGGGCAAAAACTCACTTCATTGTATTTCGAGCCCTTATGTGTCTAGTGCGTTTTGAAGTCGAGACCTCCCACTAGACACGGTAACCTCACAACCAGCTGGGCTGGAATGCTTGGTTAGCACACAAAAGTCACCAGCAAGTCTTTCATTTTAAATGCTACTTTACTCGTAATATTATTTCAATTTGGAGAACACTTGTTAGAAGTAAATGCAAGAAAAACATTACAAAGGCATCTTAAAGCTTTACACATTATCCAAGATGACCCTAAAGACGACATTTAAATAGTGTTTGAGAGAGCTCGTTAAAAGATTATTAATAATACTTTTCAAACAAACAAATTTACTTTAAAACACAGTTTGAAGGAATATATATAGTATTTTCACTAAGCTACCGGATAATGAATTTTTATTTTCTTCATTTCTTATATGTGGCTTCATTACACCATTTCAAGATCATACTAAACCATTCCAGAATTCAAGTACAATGTGGATTTCATCTTAAATTAATATTATTTAATCCTAGATGACTTTATCTAATAAGTAAATAAAGTAGCTCATAAAGATATGCAGAAACGCAAGTTTGACAAATCCGTATAGATGTTTATGTATAGTTTTTAGAGAAAGAGTTACTTCTCTCACTTAACTAATACTCCCTCCGTCCCGCTATTAACTTCCTGCTTTCCTTTTTGGGCCGTCCCAAAATCATCTTCTCATTTCCCTAAATGGAAAGTTATCCTACATCAAAACAGTGTCAAACAGTGCTAAACACTGTCAAACAGTGTCTAAACAGTGTCAAACAGTGTCTAAACAGTGCCAAACAGTGTCTAAACAGTAAAGTCAAATTTATTTCCTAAATATGTGTGTAGGTCAAAGTAGGAAGTTAATAGCGGGACGGAGAGAGTATATAGGTAATTATTTTTTAACAATAGAAATACCTTAATTTGAACAAAAGACTTAAATATGTACTCATTTTTTCAAATAAAGAAATACCTTAGCTGTTTTGACTCGTCTAACATATGTTGTTCCTAGTTTCTACTTCTATTTTTTAGGATTTTAAGATTTGAAAATATGTCTTAGTACTTATTGTCAATCTTGAATGAAGTACTTTTGGCCATAACTCATCTATCTTTTTGCTTGTCAAATACTTATGTGTTTCTTAATCTTAGATTCTTATATTATATATGAAGTACAAAAAGATTGAAAAAATGTCATTTAGGCATATATACAAACACTTAGCAAGCTTCAAAGAAGTCTACCTTTCTCTCTCGTCTGATCTTGGCACCTCAATTTCTGCAAGCTCACCCCTCCGCTTGGCTGATCACAATTCTCAACTGGAGAAAGCCTAGGAGCCGGAAATCAAACTGAATATGAGACAGAAATAGGGGAATAATTGAACATATCGTGATTTCTGATTTCCTCAGAAAACGAGAAAGACTCGTACTAATTAAATTGTAATGAGTCTATGACATGTCTTCTGCTTTGAATCAATCTTTATTTGTAACTATATTTTCTAACTACTACGTTTTTTCAAGGAGTCTATAGCATGATTCCGGCCATACTAATGGAAATTTGCAATTGTTAGTAAGGAAACAATTGAATCATGCAGACACGAAAAGTGTGAAAGGTGACAAACAATGAGCAATGATGAGGATAAGGAAAGTTAAATCTGGCAATTAAATAACACAAATTGATAAAGGGACACAGAAGAATGACAAACTTACCTGAAGAAACACACAACATCGGAGGTTTCCTTGAGCAGATGAATGCTGAAATTCAATTGGGGACTAAGAGGGGTAATCCCTTGCCTAGCGGGTGGAGAGGGAGACGGGAATAGACGCAAGTGGTAACCCAAATGGTGAAGTTCAGCGGTTAGGCAAAATGTCTAACCTTATTGCCGACAAAGCTGGTGCGATAGAGAACGACATGAGTAAATGAGGACAAGCGGCTCAATGGAAGGAGTTTTAACGGAGTGAGATGAGAAGGGAAAAGTATTATTTAAGCGTATAATGCTGAAATAACAAAGTACAAGCACTTAAAACTATCCATTCCACCAACACTTTTTTAAAACCTAAAATGCCCTTACCTCTATTAACTCTTATATGTTTGTAGTGAGTAGTGATAGGAGGCAAAAGCATTTTTGTTTTTACAAATACGCTTGGTGGCCCCGGAGACCACCACCTACTCATTCACATCATTTGTTTTACGACTTTAAGAACAACCGCAACAAAATTATTTTTTAACTAACCAAGTTTTAACTTTATTTTAGTGGGTTGTTGTTTTTCATAGTTGTCTTTTTACCACTAAATCAAAGAATAATATTTTCACTAAAAAGTGGTGTTAAAGTATGGCTTATTGTAAGTGGAAATGTGAAGATAGTTAAACTTACACGCAGAATGTTTTTGTGATCCGATTAATACGACTTCCCTCGCGGGTGTATCACAAACTACTTCGCAACGCACATGTAGAGATAACATAGCCCCGATGAGTCCGCCGGCAACGCCTTGTGAGATCATATGTGCAGGCATATCCGATGCCAAATACTTTCTTGAGATTGATGTACGAAATTCGATCGAATATACCTTCCCCCAAGATAAAACGAGCTCTTCGACGTAAGCCGGTAACAGAACAACGAGATTAAAATAAAATTAATCCAACAGAGTTATAATATATTAGGGGATGTTCAACTCAAAAATCAACTCAAAATAATTTTGTCTAGCGAACCCGCTAGCCAGGCCGAACACACATATATACTAGTACCGAGTGTTCTTCCCACTTCCCAGGTGATAACGTTCATATTATTAAATATTCCCTATAATCAATGTTCAGATTAATGTAGAAAATTAACTCCACTAACTCTTAAATCTTAAACCGTCGGGAGTAATTATTATTTAATAATAATAAGTCTATGTCTAGCTAGCACTACAGTAACGTGCAAAGCTTAGGAGCTGAGCATGCAACAATTAAAATGTTTTTAAAATAAATATAAGTTTTATTTATTTATTTTTCATTTGAAATACTTCCGATTTTCCAACATATATAACAGATGGGAGTGAAAAGGGTTGGTCGTTGGGACAGAGTTGCACAGAAGACGATGGGAGAAAGAAAAAGGGAAAAAGAAAAAGGAAAAGAAATAAAGGAAGAAAAATAATCAAGCCCAATTAAAATTTGCCTCGTGGCAGAGTAACCGGCTGAAGTTGTTAGTTCAAGTCACCGGCTCATTTTTAGAAGATACCATATGTTGTTTAGATTATTTTGGAATAATTCATTTTGGATTAATAAGAGAAGATCGTCAATAGGTCGGATAATTAATGTGAATTTTTCCCTATTCTAAAAGCAGGCGCAAGGGTTAGACTATATGATTAATTAACAATAATCAAATAAATTCGAATACGGAGTATATGTGTGTGTATATATATATATATATATATATATATATATATATATATATATATGTATGTATGTGTGTGTGAATATATATATATATATATATATATATATATTCATATATATGTATGTGTGTGTGGGGTCAGCTAACCACATAGTCTAACACTAATGTCCTATTGTGATCAATTTAATTTGACATTCAAAAACCTTTATCATAATCTATTGTCAATTAACTGGGAAATAGTGAAACAACCGAATGCTAATGAAGGGATAAAAGTTAATCATAATCATTATTCAATATTTCAATTCATCTTAATCAAACATATTTAATTGACAGGCCTGTGTAAGGCTAACCGCAACCCAATCCATCAATAAATTAAATCTTTCACCAGTTTATACATATTCACTCAGTTAATCCAGTTTTTGTCTCCAATCCAGCACCGTTAATATATTTACTTAACACATTCTTTTTCAGTCAAAGAGAGAATTCCTAAATAGGGGTAAAAACGTTTTGAAATTCCAAAATAGGACTCATGTTTTTTATTCCCTGGGAGTAAATTTCTGCCAAGTTTGGCATTACTAGGCTTTAAACATGGCATTTTTTCCCAAACTTGGCAGATTACTCCTATTCAGGGAATAAAAAAATGATAGTCCTATTTTAGAATTTCAAATCGTACCCATATTTAGAGCAATTTCTGTTAGTTCAATCCTTACTTTTTATTATTACACATAATTTTTTGCCAAATTCTATTTTTGCAAATAATTATGATTTAAAATATCAAACATCCTGACGTTAAAATAAATAAATTTGGAGATTTTTTTGTTACTTCAGACCTATTTTAAGAAATGATCAAAAAATGTATAAAAAACAAAAAATTAACCATCACATCTTAATTTTAGTACTTGGATTTATTTAAGAGAAATTTTGGGTAAAAAACTCACCATACGAAATTTCATAATTTTTTTTTTGAATTTATATATTTAATATTGGTGTCATATGAAAGATAATAAAAAATTATGAATTTTGATATAATTTTTATAAAGATTGGATTACAAATAAAAAAGTTGACAATTTAAATAAAATTAGGAATTTAATTTTTGTGGGGCCTACATCATTTTCACACCTGCGCATGGCAGAGGGGAGTCTTCTCTTCTCCCTTGGAGTCAATCGAGGCTTGTAATCTCCCTCCCATGGGTTTTCTACATCCACAAACACCTCCATATACTCTTTTTTAATAATGTAAGAATTAATTATTAGTTAGTTTCCTAATTGTATTTGGCAACTTATTTATTATAAATATACTCTCAGGGCTACCAGTCTGGTTAAGCCTGTTTATTATTCTCACGTGATATCAAGAGCCATCCCTTTACCCTATTTTTTTTTCTGATCCTTATGGCTTCGTCTGCCGCTGGACAAACTACAGCCACCACTGTGCCGAATACAACGGCCGCACAACCTTCGACTATGGCAGCGCCTCTCAACGCGGCAGCGCCCGTCACCATGCCGACAGCTTTCTCTACTTCGTCTGCTCCGTTCTCTCTCTCGTTTGGCTCGGCGTCCACTGTCTTGCAGCCGACATATTCAGCATCTTTTCCGGTGAGCAACTTGACTTTTGATGCCTCGGTTTGGGTTCCACCGGTGTTTGATTGGTCTACTTCGGCTACTACCACTCACTCGACCGGTCCGAACTCAGTCACACAGTCGGTTCCGGCATCATCCTCCTCCCGAATGTTTTTTGGCGGACCCACGTTTTCTGGAGTGCAAGGATTAGCGCCGCCGCCTACGGTTTCACCGATAGGCTGACCGGCAGCAGCCCGCACTAGTTCTCTGGAGGCAATTGCACAGGCTATGGGTTTTTCGGCTCCCAATATTACGAACATTGTTACCACCAAGCTTGATGCAGTTGAAGACTATCTGCCCTGGCGCACCCAATTTGAATCGTTCTTGGTCTCTCACGGTCTCATGGGAATCCTAGATGGTACTATCACTGCTCCTCCTCAATTTATTTTTGATGCTAATCGTAGAGAAGTTGTGAACAACGAGTATTATTATTGGTTAAAGTTAGACCAAACAGTCCGTTCTTGGCTGTTTGCTACTTTATCTCGTGATATACTTGTTGAAGTTCATACACTTCAAACTTCTGCTACCATCTGTGAACGACTGGAATCTAGATTTATGGCTGCCATCATAGCTCGTTGTATGGAATTAAAACGCATGTCCAATAATACTAAAAAGAAAGAAAATCAAACCATGGAGCAATACATGCGTGAAATTCAGAAAATTACTGATGCCCTTGCCACGATTAATTCACCGGTCTCCCTGAAAGACATAATTGAGCAAACACTTCTCGGTCTTCGTCCTGATTATGAGTCTATAATTACCACATTAACTTCTTTTCCGGAGGGACTCACTTTTGATAAGCTACGGAGACGGCTGGTTGAGCAAGAGCAACGCATTCTTTATCTTCGCTCTCAGGAGGCGTCCTCGCCTGCGGCTTTTGTTGCTCAGCCTGCGGCCCCGGCAGCTCCTGGACATGATCCGCGAGGTGGCAATCAGTATAATCGGGGACGAGGACGACGTGGTCAGCGTGGCCGAGGCACCCGCGGCCGAGGACGAGGATACGGCCAGCAGCACCAGCTGAACTACGTGGCTCCCGGGTACGGCCAGCAGCCTGGCTACTACCAGCCACGGCCTGGACATCAGCCCCAAGGGGGGTATTTTCAGCTGCAACCTTATCATCCCCCAGCTCCTCCTCATGGACGTCCAGGTTCAGTTCTATGTAATACGGTTTTTTCATCGTTACATACGCATCCCTATTTTATTCCTGGTACTAATCATAGCTATGCAGGCTCACCTTTAGTTGATGGACAATTTGGTTCTATTCCCCCGTCGGTTGTTTGTCAGATTTGTTATTCACCAGGTCACAACCATCTCCTCCTGCTCTTGCTGCACCCGTGGGTGATACTAATGACGCTGTCTGGTTCCCAGACTCCGGTGCTTCCGCGCATATGACTCCTCAGTAAGTTACATTAGTTAATAAATCTGCTTATTCCGGACCACTTACTGTTACTGTAGCTAATGGAACAAATTTACCCATAAAAAATATTGGCAATATTTCCATTAATTCCTTGTCAAGGCCTCTTCATTTAAAATCTGTTTTTCATGTTCCTCATATTAAATATAATTTATTATCCATTCAAAAGCTATGTTCTGACAATAATTGCATGGTGATATTTGATAAAAATTCTGTTTTTCTAAAGGACAAAACCACGGGGGCATTTCTTCTTCAGGCTTCCAGTAGCGGTTCCGGTCTCTGCCCCATTCGCCTATCCTCTTCACCACCTATGGCTTTAGTATCTAGCGCGGTGCCTGGACCGTTGTGGCATCGTCGCTTGGGACATTGTGGCAGTAGAGTTTTAGATGGTCTTAAGAAGTCGGGTCAGTTATGTAGTTTGTCTTCCTTTAATCATGATTGTTCGTCGTGTCGTTTGGGTAAATCTCAGAGATTACCATTTCAGGATGTTTTTCATAGTGCTAGTAAACCT